AAGTCAGTTTGATCGTTTGTTTTTAAAACCCAGCTCAGGTTGAGGTTCACACTGACAAAAAGTTCGGTTTCGCATTAATGACAGTTCGAGCCTGGACAAGTTGAGCGGCAAAAATAATCCATTGATGGGGGAGGACTGCAGCACTGCAGTGAAATTGGACGAGAATAAGATAGAGATGCACAACACTGCGGTGTGAGCAGATGAAATTAGGAAGAAAGATAAAAAGTTATAAACAAACTTTTTCCATGGTGGTTATAGAAAGAAAAAGACCAAGCAAAAACAAAATTCGTTTTTGTTCTTGTTTTTTTTTCGCCGCTTAAATGTTTTGACATCACTTTATAGGCGCCGTAGTAAAAGGGTAAAAATGGGGGTAGGCGATATATCTGCCAAATAATACGCCAAAAGTGTCTTTTCGGTAGCACTCAAATACAATATAGTTCCTCTAGGCACTGTGAAGTATGTTCTTTATGCGACTATATAAATGAATTAGTGCCGTTTTTCATGGCTTAGTGGTTACTTGGGATCTGTCTATATGTAGTTATTCACAAGAAGATCGTCGTACAGTAATTACACCAGCAGGGCATCGTGTTAGATTCATGGTATAACTGGAGGGGCGAATATGTTGGTACGATTTAGATCCAACCTATAACCGAACTGACAGCGCCACCCTATGCGTGAAGAGATAACCTTCAGAAAGGAAAGTGACGAACAAGTGTAAACACGTATCGGAAATAGAACTTTGTAATAAACGCCGTATTTTTTATTCGCGAACCGAATTGTCCCCACATGTTTACCCGAAAAAAAATAACAACAAAAATACAATAAAAAACAATGTAACAATAAGACGAAAATTATTGTCTTAACAATGATTTACATTGTTACGTCTACAATAAATTTACCTTGATTTATGTTGTACAAAACAGTAAATTTCATGGTAAATGGAAAATTTACAATAAATAAGGGGGGGGGGTTGTTAAGTATCTTAAGGCCATCGTTCGGACATTTTGAGCCGTTTGTCTGTGATTTGGGTGGTTTTCCAGGAAACGTCCCGAAAATCCTGTGAAGGAAAGCGAATATCGGGAAACAAATTCCGTCCGATTGTAGCCAAGGATTTTGTTTTCCTAGTGGGGTAAAATTTGGGTGGAAAAGTGCATTCAACTTCAAGTGGTGTGCTTTTTCCGGGAAAGTGGCATTTCCACCCAAAGAGAATATGCACGTGAGTGTATATGTGCGCGCAAGGAAATGCAATCTTGCGCCTATGTTTTCCGAGAATTTCCCAAGAAAGTATACCATATTTTTATACCAGGACCTTTTGCAGACTATGCACAACATGATGGTATACATAAACATATGATTTTCGAAAATTTGTAGCATGGTTTTTCAATTTCCAAACCATGCGCCAAACATTCTCGCTGTAAATTCGTCACGGACATAGTAAAGAAGCAATCAGCAATTACGCATTTGTTTTACCACGTTGCCACATTTTCTTGTTCGTAGGTCCACGAGTCCTTTTTCGCTAGTTCGCTCATCATATCAAATTGATCAGGAATTCTTCCGAATGTCAAAAATTATATCGAAGACCTACGACGGATCCGAAATTGAAATTGAGATCTCCATATATTCTTTCATCATATCAAACTGAACAGGAGTTCTTCAAAATCTTATCTTATCTATCGAAGACCTACGACTTATCGGGAATTGAAATCGAATCCTGCATATTCCCTCGTCACATCAAATTGATCATTAATTCTTCCGAATAATCTGAAATTATATATAAAACGTGACTAATCGGAAATTGAAAATGAGTTCTCCATATATTCCACCAACACATCAAATTGATCATAAATCCTTCTGTAGACATTCGGGCAGTTAGAATATATTTCAAAATACAAGGATGGTCAAAAATTCTTCCAAACTATCAGAAGTTATATGGAAACCCTTCGATTGATTGCAAATTGAAATCAAATTCTCCATTAATTCCTTGATCATATCATATTGGAATTATCAGGAATTATTCCGAATAATAAGAAATTATATCGGAAAATGAAATCGAGTTCTCCATATGTTCCCTCATCACATCAAATTGATCAGGATTTCTTCCAAATTATCAGAATTAATATCGAACACGTATGACTAATTGGAAATTGAAATTGAGTTCTCCATATATTCCATCAACATATCAAATTAATCAGAAATCCTTCTGAAGACCTTCGGGCAGTTCGAATGTATTTCAAAATACAAGGATGATCAGGAATTATTTCGAAATTTCACCGAATTATCAGAAGTTATATGGAAACCCTATGACTGATTGGAAATTGAAATCGATTTCACCATAATGTGTACCCTATGTACAATATCAAAGTGTTCAGAAATTCTTCCGGATTATCAGAAATTATATTGAAGGTCTTCGACTAATAGAACAATTGCAACCAAGTTTCCATATATATCTCAATCAAATCAGGTTGATCAGGAATTCTTTCGAATTATCAGAAATTATAAAAAAAAAACTTCCTGATCAGAAATTGAAATCGAGTTGTCCTTATGCCCTTACCATATCAAATTGATCAGGAATTCTTTCGTGTGACCAAAAATTGTATCGAATACCTACGAATGGTGGGAAATTGAAATCGAGTTTTATCAGGACATCTTCCGAATTATCAGAAATTATATCGAAGACCTACGACTGATCGGCAATTGAAATCGAATGATCCATATACACCCTAGCAAAGTGATAATGAATTCTTCCGAATTATCAGAAATCATATTCAGGGCCTTCGACTTATAGAAGAATTGTCATCGATTTTTCCATGTAGGTATATCTTTATCATATCAGGTTGATCGGCTATACTTCCGAATTATCAGAAATTATATCGAACACATACGGCTAATTGTAAATTAAAATTGAGTTCCCCAAATATTCCCTCATCATATCAGATTTATAAGGAATTCTTCCGAATCAGCAGAAATTATAAAAAAGACCAATTACTGATCGGAAATTAAATTCGAGGTCTTTGAATATTTCCTCATCATATCAAAGTGATCAGGAATTTTTTATTATTATTGTATGATTATTGACTGCACGGGAAAGGTCTGCATTAAGCGGGATTTAACAACAATTTTTATTGTAATAGAGTTGTTCATTATTGTTCGTGATCGAATCATGTTAACAATAAAATAAATGAAAAATACAATAAAAATCATTGTAACAACATTTTATTATGTACATTCATTGTACATCTAGGTAGCAGTTTTGCCGTTTTCGGAAGGGTACAACATTATAACAATCATTTTTATTGTCGACAATAAATATTAATGTTATAGCATTGTTTCCACTGAAAATTTCACTGTAATTTTTTTTTTCGGGTAACCATTACAATTTTTATTATTTTATAGGTTGTATAATTATAGCAAATATTGTTTTTTTTTTATGGTATCTCTATTCTTGTTTTCGTTCGAACTTTTTTTTGTATGGAAAATACGATTCGAACGAAAATAAGAATATGGGTGATTGTTTGGTGTGAGAAATCCATTTCGAACGGAATAGAGAATACGGGTGATTAAATCAACAACTTTTTGAAATGGATTCGGAGTTATGATATTCGGTGTACTATCTATATCTATACACATAAAAATGATTTTTTGTCTGTCTGTCTTAAGTCCCCGGCAAGGTGAAAGATAACCTTAGTTTCACGTACCCACTTGCAAATAGTAGATGTCGCCACACAATATAAACAAAGGGATTGTCCTTCACCGCCGCAATGGCATTTCTCTACACGCTAAGATCAGTTTACCCAGACGGTACAAAGAGATTACCGAGATTGACCGTAAATTGCACAAACTCACATATGGGTAAATTTTTTTAACCCAAATATGGGTTCTTATGATCCATAAATGATTTATTTTTATGCAAATTTGACTTAAATTTACCCATATTTGGGTTAAAAAATTTACCCATATCTGAGTTTTGCAGTTTACGCCTGATTTGGGTAAAGTAAACCTACATTTGGGTTATCTGATCTTAGCGTGTAAGGGAATCCAACTAAAGCCCTACACGGTGTTTCGCGAAAACCCATTAATGGGTATAAAAACACCCATTTCAGCTAAAAGTGCCCCTCCTCATTTAATGGGTAAACTATGGTTTACTCATTAATGGGTAAATGGGGGATGTTCCGCCTACCGCCGAAAGAGAGAAGAAAAACGTCGACCAATCAGCAACGAGCAAACAGTCAGTGCCGCTCTATAAAAATCCCCGCAGTAGCGTGCTTTAGTTTAAGTTTGAATCCAACCGAGCATCCGTTCGCAGCAGCAGCAGCTGTAAAACGTTGTATTAAGAAGCAAAGAGAAATAAAACAGTAGTGTCTAGTGTAGTCGGCAGCATTCGTCATTTCTACTGCATGTCCACCGTGTCCCGGAGAGCAGCGTCAAACCCCCCAGCTCTTTTCAGAGCTTCTGAGTTTAGAAATTCGATTGACGCTAGCCAACTCCGTTCGCTCCCGCCCAGTACAGTCCACTTCGCCTTGACAAAACCAGTTCAGAAGGAACATCAATTTGGTCCGTCACGAACCGGATCACGAGCCATTCCGAAGCAACCGTTCCCGTTGAGTGGAAACTGACGTGCTACGACACACAAACTGTACCCAAACCAAAACGAAACAACTGCTTCTGCTGCTACGCTTGCGACTCGACGCGGAGCATTTAGAACGAACGTGTTTGAACGTGCACGAGTGAGAAGTGCGTTTTCGGAAAAAAAATACGTTTTGTTGTGGTTTCGAGATTTGAAATACGCCGCGTAGTGAGTGAGGTGTCATAAATGGCACCAGAAGACGCTGAAGAAAACCAGCAAGCGAACCCTATCCCTAGGTTGCCAGTTAGCAGATCCTGAATCTGCAAAACAGTGGCAGGGAATATCCAGGCAACGTGAACAAGTGAAGCAAAAGATTGTGCGCATTCGGCGTTCTCTCATTAGTGGAAAGCCACCAACTTTGGCGCAAGTGACAAATATGTCCAAGCACCTGTCCGTTGTGAACACCGAGTACAGCGGATTCCACAGCAAAGGACTGGCGCTTCTTCCAGATGATGCGCTGGACGAGCAAAAACATGAATACGCCAACTTTGAAGATCTCTACAACAACGTTACCGATGCCGTGCATGAGTTGTTGCTGGAAGCACAAGCAAACGCGGCCACTCCATCGCCGACAACCGTCCATAACCCGCAGGTGGTCGTCCAGCAGCAGCCGCTCAGCGCACCAATTCCAACATTCGATGGCAATTACTCTGGGTGGCCTAAATTCAAAGCCGTCTTCCGTCTTCCACTCGGGGGATACAGACGCCATAAAACTGTATCACCTCGATAAGGCGCTCATCGGAGATGCAGCTGGTGTATTGAATACCAAGATCCTTAGTGAAGGGAATTATCAACAAGCTTGGGACATTTTGGAGGATCGCTACGAAAACAAGCGGGTTCTCATAGAAACCCACATCCGTGGTCTGTTTTCACTACGAGACATGTCATCGGAGACCCATAAGGAGCTGAGAGGTCTGCTAACCGAAGTTACTCACCACGTCGAGAGTCTGAAGTTTCTCCAGCAGCAGATCACTGGCGTTTCGGAGCACATGATTGTGTATCAGATCGTTTCCGCGCTCGACAAATCGACCCGCAAAGCCTGGGAAGGGATCCAGAAAAAAGGACATCTTCCCAAATACGAACCAACCATCGCCTTCCTGAAGTCCAGGTGCCAAATCCTCGAGAATTGTGAGGCGGCATTCCAGACTAGCAAATCCATCTCAAAACAGAAGCAAGCTCTTCCACCATCGAAGATCCATCCGCAAAAGAGCCATGCAGCATCGACCAGCCCATCCCAACTGACGAACTTGTGTGAAATTTGTGGTGGTTCTCACCGCAACCACCAGTGCTCGGCCTTGTCCAACCTTACTCCTGCCCAAAAGAATGAGAAGATACGAACTGCTGGAGTCTGCTTCAACTGCTTGCGCAAAGGGCATCGATCCAAGGACTGCCCTTCCGACAAATCGTGCCACAAGTGTCAACGCCGACACCACACGTTGCTCCATGATGATGGGGCACCCCGCTATGAGAAGAAGTCCAACGTTTCCGCGGAAGCAATGGCAACCCTAATAAAAAATAACCATAAACGAACGATAACCCAAATCATTGAACTATTCCACAAATGGTTTGTATGATACCCAGAACACGTCGTTAAGCAAATTAACCATACAATTTTTATTAGGGAAGCCCGCCTCTGGTTCCGGCTGCTCCGAATCAACCGATGTCGGTGCAGACGATTCCTGCCCCAGTGGATCCACCAGTGTCAACAACCTGTTCGTCGAATGTTGTCTCATTTCCCAAGACGGTACTGTTGCTGACCGCAGTGGTACATGTCTTGGATAAAGATAACCAGCCATATCCGTGCCGGGTACTTTTGGACAGCGGCTCCCAAGTCAACTTTGTAACCGAAGATATGGTTAACCGCCTAGGCCTCTCAAAGAAACCAGCCAACGTTCCGATCGTGGGAATCAACGCCCTACGGTCCCTCGCCCGAGACAAGGTGGTGGTCAGGTTCCAGTCCCGTTTATCCAATTTCCACGCAAGCCTCGAGTGTCTGGTTACCCCGAGAGTGACCGGCACGATCCCTGCATTGAGAATAGACATCACCAAATGGACGATCCCTGAAGGGGTAATCCTAGCTGATCCCAAGTTCCACAGTCCGGATAAGGTGGACTTGCTGATCGGTGGGGAGTTGTTCTTCGATATCCTGAAACCTGGTCAGCTGAGCCTAGCCGAAGGTCTTCCACAATTGCGAGACACTTATCTGGGGTGGATCGTAGCAGGTGCCATCAATGATCAGCTCGTGTCAAACGTGTCGCTCCAATCCAACACAGCCGTTGAAGACATTGAGCAAAGGATGCACCGGTTCTGGCAAGTCGAGGAGGTGCCGGACGTTCCCAAGCTGTCGACCGAGGAAGCAGCATGCGAAGCCCACTTCCTTTCCACCTACCAACGTGACGAAACTGGAAGATTCATCGTGAAACTGCCGTTCAAGGACAATCTTCCCCAATTGGATAACTGTCGCAGTCTAGCTTTGAAAAGATTCCTGATGTTGGAGAAGCGATTAATCCGCAATCCCGAGCTGCAGGCTCAGTATGTGAACTTCATCCGGGAGTACGAAGCTCTCGGCCACTGCACCGAGATCAACGAGTCTGAAGATCCACCCCACAAGCAAACCTACTATTTGCCGCATCATGCAGTGTTACGTCCGTCCAGCTCGAGTACGAAATGTCGAGTCGTGTTCGACGCAAGTGCAAAGTTGTCGCCATCGGAACTCTCCCTGAACGATGTACTGCAAGTTGGTCCAGTAGTACAGAACGATCTGCACCATATCGCGCTACGGTTCCGAAAATTCAAGGTTGCCATCACCGGAGAAATCTCTAAAATGTACCGTCAAATACTCAAAGCCCTGTTGGATCGTAGTTTCCTTCGAATCTTTTGGAGAGAGCACCCATCGTTACCCCTACGAGTCCTGGAACTCTGTACCGTTACGTACGGTACGGCATCGGCACCATATCAAGCAACCAGGTGTTTGCTGAAGCTCGTCGAAGAGGATGGTGAGGACTTTCCTGTCGCCGCTCGTATTGTGAAAGAAGAAACGTACATGGACGATGTACTCTCCGGTGCAGACTCGGTGGAGGACGCTATCGAGGCTCAACAACAGCTGAAGCAGCTCCTTGGCCAAGGAGGTTTTCCCATACACAAGTGGTGTTCAAATTCACCGGAATTCCTAGAGCATATTCCCGTGGAGGATCAAGAAAAAAGGATCACGTTGGAAGAGCATGAAGTGAATGAAGCCATCAAGGTGCTTGGTTTACTCTGGGATCCCTCTGCAGACTCGATACTCATAGCCTATCGTCCAAATCCAACATTGCATCCGCAACGGCGTACGAAAAGAACGATGTACTCCGAGATCGCCAAGTTTTTTGACCCCCTGGGACTGGTTTCACCGGTCATTGTTTTGGCGAAGCTTCTAGCGCAGAAATTGTGGCAGCTTAAGTCCGGGTGGGACGACCCGGTTGACGAAGAAATCGCACAGCAGTGGCGACAACTCCAAGATTCCTTGTCGCATCTTCACGAGATCGAGATCCCAAGGCGCGTGACGATGGACAACGTGGTCGCCTACGAGCTCACGGCTTCTCTGATGCCTCCAACAAGGCTTATGGAGCCTGCATCTTTTTGCGAAGTATTTTAGGCAATGGCTCGGCGAAGCTTCGTCTCCTCACCAGCAAATCGAAACTGGCTCCCTTAAAAGAGCTGTCCATCCCACGAAAGGAATTGTGCGCCGCTCTCCTACTAACCCGGTTGGTACAGAAGGTGTTACCAGCCCTGGATATGACTTTCCGTGAAATAGTCCTGTGGTGCGACAGTACGGTAGTCCTCGCTTGGATTAAGAAACCTCTCAACCAGCTACAGTTGTTTGTACGGAATCGAATCGCAATTATACAAGAGCATACCAGTAAGTACCGGTGGGAGTATGTCCGGTCCCAACAGAACCCAGCAGACATCGTATCCCGAGGTCAACTAGTTGAATCCCTGAAGCACAACAGCCTTTGGTGGAATGGGCCCGAATTCCTGCAAAGAGTTGAGTACTACGTAGATGCCCCTGAAGACGTTCCAGACGAGAAGCTACCGGAACTTAAGGCCTTGGTAGCAGGGCCAGATGTGAGTATGGACTTCCTATCTTTTCTTCCAAAGCTCAGTAACTTCCGCAAAATCCAACGAGTTGTGGGCTATGTCCTGCGATTCACTGCCAATTGTCGGAAAAAGGACCCGACCAATCGAGAGATAAAGCCCCATCTGACCGTCCGTGAGTTACGCCGCTCATCTGAAGTCATCATGCAAGTTTTGCAGAAGGCACATTTCCCCAACGAGATTAAGCTAATTCTGGCAAACAAACCCTGCAAGAGACTCGGAGGTCTTCGTCCAATTTACCACGACGGACTGCTTCGAGTAGGTGGTCGGTTGGACCGCTCCCAATTACCATTCGAAAGTCGCCATCCAATCATTCTGCCAGATAAGGATCCGGTAGTACTACTACTAATTCAACAAATGCACGTCGAGCTCCTTCACGTCGGGCCTGATGAACGCCATGAGACAACGTTATTGGTTGCTGAACGCAAGATCCACCATCCGATTTATCACACGCCGGTGCGTGAGATGCTTCCGGACAAATCCTACCACTCCCAACCAATTGATGGGAAACCTGCCAGTATCGAGAGTAGTGCCGTCGCCCCCCTTCGCTGTGACCGGCGTGGATTACGCCGGGCCTTTCTGGACCAAGCAAGGCACACGTCGTCCAACTTTGGTGAAGTCATACGTGGCCGTTTATGTTTGCATGGCAACCAAAGCCGTCCATTTGGAGGGCGTCTCCGATTTGAGTACCGATGCCTTCATGGCGTCCCTTCGACGATTTATTGCTCGCCGTGGAATTGAACAACCTTTACCAGCAGTTTTGTGACCAACACGCCGTGGACACCAACGAATCTTTCTGCCGCAATCATGAGATTGAGTGGAATTTCATTCCACCCGACGCACCCGAGTTCGGTGGTTTGTGGGAGGCAGCCGTGAAGTCGGCCAAAACCCATTTGAAGCGGGTAGTCGGCAATACGAATCTAACGTTCGAGGAATTGTGTACGATCCTGTCAGAAATCGAGGCCGTCTTGAACTCCCGACCATTGTTCGCAATTTCCAACGACCCGGCGGACCCGCTGGTGATAACTCCAGCGCATTATTTGATTGGACGACCACTGATCGCCCCAGCTGAACCTTCCCTGGAGAACGTCAAAGCATCCCGCTTGACACGGTGGCAACATCTCCAACTTATGCGCGAGCAATTCTGGCGTGCCTGGAGCCGGGATTATTTGAATACCTTGCAACTTCGGAAGAAAAATCGACAAGAGAAGCCGAACATTCGGGAAGACATGATCGTGTTGCTTCACGATCGTAACCAACCACCACTCAACTGGAAGTTAGGTCGCATCGTAGCCGTCTATCCTGGAACCGACGGCCTGGTCCGAGCAGTTGATGTCTTCGTGAATGGAACCACGTATCGACGTCCCATCAATAAGGTGTCCATTCTGCCCATCGAGGATAATGATCCCCATCAAAGCCCTCCGACTTCCAAAAGGTGTTGAGATCTCTCAACCGGGGGGAGGATGTTCCGCCTACCGCCGAAAGAGAGGAGAAAAACGTCGACCAATCAGCAACGAGCAAACAGTCAGTGCCGCTCTATAAAAATCCCCGCAGTAGCGTGCTTTAGTTTAAGTTTGAATCCAACCGAGCATCCGTTTGCAGCAGCAGCAGCTGTAAAACGTTGTATTAAGAAGCAAAGAGAAATAAAACAGTAGTGTCTAGTGTAGTCGGCAGCATTCGTCATTTCTACTGCATGTCCACCGTATCCCGGAGAGCAGCGTCATATTATTTCACCCATTTTATGATTTCCAAATTTCCCCATTTTTTGACAGCTGCATACATGGTTTAAAAATGGGTATTTTTTTACCCATAAATGGGTTTTCACGAAACACCGTGTACAATAAAAGTATGGACGACTGTCACCACAAAACTTAACAAAATGCTGTTGCAATCGAGCAAAGCGGTGCATTTTGACGGTTCGATTGGAACAACTTTTGACAGACGTCCATACTTTTACTGTAAGGCTTTAAATCCAACATTTTGTTTCTCCATGTGTGGATGTCAAACAACAAGCAAGAATGCTATATGATAAGAGCGAATTTATTATGTTCATGGTGAAATTAAACAATCCAAACAAATTGAAACCGATTGATGGAGGTTAATTTTCTTATATAATCAAATGGCAATAAAAATACTTCTTTTTTATTTTGCCCTTGAATATAATAAGCCTACAGATTTTTTTTGATCATAGTGGTGCGATAAAGGCTTGCTATATAAATAACCAAAATTTTACTTTCCTGTGTTTCTCTATTCTTTTGTTCTTGCGTATTCTTCATGCAAGGCTTCTGAAATTAAACTGAAAATACTCATTAATCATCACAAATATTTCAACGTTGGAAGATATTACGAAAATAGAATCCTAATGAGTATCTGCAACATTCATCAACATGTTTTTTTGAAACTTTCATGACTTATTTTTAAGCAGGATGCAGTAAACAATCATCGCAATATCTTGATAAAATTGTGCATCGATTTTTATTTAAAACTCCGGCTTGAAGAATAGGCCAAAAACTTTGGAAGCATAAAGAATTCTATCCGCAAAAAACTTACAAAATTGATTATATTTCGCGGTGAGTAGCAATTTTGCTGAGTGATGAGGAACATTTTGTAGATCCATTTAAAATTGAAGAAATACATAAAATTAAATGAACTAAATCAAATAAGGGTCTCACAAAAAATTATTCACAGTTTATATTTTGTTACACCCGTCCGTATCATTAACGTTATTCCTCGCCAAACTTGAAGCCTTAAGAAGCAGATAAGACCATAAATTTGTATTTTATATTATGTTGTTACACAGTTATGGGCATAGTGACAATGACAACACAAATACCATGAAGAACTCTGAAAAATGTAGTGATCATATAAATGAAGTGATTGTTAATCAGATTTATTTAGAATAGGGTTTTTGATCTAATTTCCGTCCTACTCCACATCTCGCACTTTACCTCTCTTTTTTTAAAGGGTTTGAACAAAACATGGAATGTTTTCATCAAAAATAACTTCTAAATTTATTCACCTTTCCATACGTGCCGTTGGATTTGATAAAGAGTCAAACAATGTTGAGATATTATTAAAAATCTAACACTGCTTCTTGATTCTAAATTCGTCTTACGAGTTTCAATTCCGTCCGAGTTTTCTTCGTCCTACTGATAAACGTAGAAAAATAGGATTCGCTAGGAACGCTTCTTTTGTTTTAAGAACAATGAGTGTAAATATTCATACAATGCGCTGTAATAGGCTTCATGTTGTGGTTTATGAACTAACGGATCGGAACAAACGCATTATTGTTTTGTACATGGTGGAATCATTAACATTATTGATGATTTCTGGTCGATAGAACGAAAATGGGCGATTACGACGAAGTAGCGCTCTACCCTATAAGCTGAAATTGAACTCTGATGATTTTTGCACATAAGTATTGGTCACAGATCCGTTGTAGCAAGATATTGAAAATTTATGCAAATTGAATAATATATCACATATTTAGCTTAAATGTATTTAAGGCCTTCGACATACGTACTAAGTACACCGTTTTACCATAGAGGATTAGGAGACCAGAAGGTCCCGAAGAAACGTGCTCAACTTTTTGGCTCAGCTTGATACTCTCTTCGGTCCCAAGCTTATCGATGCACCCCTCAAAACATAGGAAAATCCACGAACCCCTCATTTTATCTATCAAACTTTCATAGCGAATCAAAACAAACATAGTGCAGTACTAGAATGTCGACTAGAATGGGCTACGTTAATTGATGTACTTGGGACCGATAGGCTAGTCAATTGTGAGCCAAATTAAAATCGTTAGTTTTCACCGGTTGGTTGTACTAACGTTGTACTCTTTTATGCTAGTACCCCAAATTGAACATTTTGCAGTACTTGCTGCGTATAATTAGTACATTCTTACTAGCTGCAAAACCATTCTTTATTTTTTCCATCATCGACGATAATAGCAATAGCTTTGAAAATACCGAAAGTATCCTTGTTCTTTTCCCAGTTGTTCTAATTAATTCGATGGCAATCATATATTTTCGTTTTACAAATCATATGTTTAAGATTTTGGTTCTGTACTGCTCAAATGCATACAATACACACAAAAAAAGTTTCATAAAGTGATAATGTATTGTGCATACTACTGAGAATCAAAGCGAAATTTTTAGCTGGCATCACTGGAGTTCCTATGTCGCTAACGTCACGTGTGCGGTTTGGTGAGCGCGTGACAATACGATGAATTTTAAACATTAATTTGGTTTACTGTACTTCAATTCCACATTCGCCTTTTTCAGATAGCGCTTCTGAAATTTGCGAGTTTGACAGAACCACCAGCACCAAATTGTTGGGGTACACTGGCAATATACTGGAGCTGTCAAGTTGCCCCCGAGTTGGTCTGTCTGGACCCTTATAGACTCGGAAACTACTGGACCGATCGGCGTGAAAATTTGTATGCAGGGGTTTTTGGGACCGGGAAAGGTTCGAAACCCCTTTCCCTCTGTAAGGGGGGAGGGGGGCTCCCATACAAATGAAACAGAAAAATATAGCATGCTTTTTTGAATCGGCGCATAAACTCAAGCTAATATTGAATCCCGAGCATGGCCGGGCACACTCAGCTAGTACCAAATAAAAAATGTTTTAAACACATAAAAATATAAAAAAAATAAACAAACAAAAAAAATTAAATACATGCCAAAAAAATAAAAAAATACATCCGCGTGTCGAAGCATTTTCATTCTGAACAATTATTTATTTTCACCTCTCTTTACTTACACAGAAACACATATAGGTTTATAACTAAATACAGTAAATGTATGCGCGAAGACATTTTTTTCAATTCAAAGATGTGAACACACTTTTGAAACTTTAAAAGTTGAAAAGTGATGTTCGATGTGCAGTACATATTTTTGAACTGCGTTTTATATGTTTCGCAATTCCAAAATCACCAAAATCACCTAATGAGCTTCAGCATTACTCTAACTTTCCTTACCATTATTATTTTTCTATAATTATAACTGTAGATGTTCTTACACTAGTTGATGAGTATGTGCACGTAAGAATAGAAAATAGTTTCATTCGATGCGATACAATGTTTAATACGATTCAAAAATCAATTTTTGAACAAATCTTCGATGCGTTTTCGTTTACTTTTCGCACCTGATGCAACTCCAACGGTTTTCGTTCCTATCGTTCTCATAGTTTCAAATTTTTGCTTTTTTGCTTCCTTTTTCCTTTGTTTTACGTCCATCTTCCTCTTTGCAGCCTGAATAGGATTGTTTATTTTTTCGGATGCAATAGCACGCAACCGAGCTGTTCGTTTCTCATGCACCTTTGACTGCATGTGCAGACAAATCTCGTCATACTTTTCGATTCCAATTTTAGATTTTATAAAATTTCCCAAGCGAATTACTATCTGTTTAAGAATATCATCCAAGTGATCCCTATCACTCAATTCACGCGTTACTGGAGAGAGAATTGACGGTGCTATAGCGATAACCGAGCTTTCATCTAATAATTCCACCAGGGCTTCCATCCATTGGAACATGTGTTTTCGCTAAAAAATATATAGAAATATAATTAATAAGATGACTACATTGAATGCTTGAATGTAATACCAAAATTATGGATTTAGGAGCCTTTGCTACTTCACTCTGTATAACGTAACGCACTCTACGGATTAACCAAATAAGATTAACCCTCTTGGAATCATCACCTTCATAACCCTCATCTTTTGGCAGCGGAACAGTTTTCAGAATATTCGCTATGAGTAGAAGATTTTTCGATACTAAAGATGCAATGTCATCATCAGTTTCAGCAGGTACCAACTGGGAGCACATATCAAGCACAAGTGATCTTGCATATGATGTTGGATTCTCGTAGATATAGTGTTGTATGGTTTCACATTGCTCACCATTCAGTATCTTGTAAACCGTGTCGACATTAATGGACCTTAGTATAAAACTTAACAGTTTTAAGGTTGCACACCGAACCCACTGGTGACCATGCGTCAATAGAGGTTGAAGATTGTAGGAAAGTTCATCAATCATTTCCAAGTTTTGGTGGCTGGTCAGAACCTGAGAGCATACTTCGAAGATTCGGTTGAATGCATTCAAAGTTTGAATTAAAGAATGATCTTTTACTTTCTGTATATGTGCACTATCCTGTTTTTGAACTGATTTCAGTCTAACAAATTTTCCCGTGTTTTCGGAACATACATCCGTAATCGTAAAAAGCAAAGCAGGAACAACCTTCCCTAATCTGGAATGGAACGATTCTTCTTCAACGTTCACCATACGTATTATCAATTGGGCAGCCATTTCACGGTGGCTTATTTTGACATCTCGGAGCATGGTCAAGGTCAGATCCAACAATTCATCGTAGCACGTTTTATCTATTCTGGAGAGTAAACATTCTATACATTCTGCAACCAAGATACGACATTCTGACGATTCTTCGTTAACCAATCGTACACCGACCGTCAGGAAAAATAAGACTGCTTTGTTGTTGAGGATAGTCTGTAAATAAAAATGAAAAGTATAAACCAATTAAATAAATTAAATAGATATCGTTTTTTACTACATTTGCTTCGTTGTTGTGCGCTACAAACTTAGAAATTATTACCGACCTTGGTAATTTTTTACCAAACTTTCAACAGTTTTTTTTTTTTCCTTTGATTTGTTTTCTGTCGATCTTGTTTTCCGTGCTGAGCACCAATGCTACCGACGCCAGGGAGGCAGCTCCCACACCTGGACCCTACCTATCGACTCATCAACTCATGAACCGGGGACTAACAGCTTTACTTCCCTTCCGAAGGAAGACGTGATCAGAGATGTTATGCCTAAAAACGGGACTAAACGCAGATGATTGAGCGATTTTACAACATTTTACATCAATGCAGACAAGTTTCAAATGTTGCATTCAAATAGCCCTACAATATGTGAAGCCATACGGCTGGTATAAAATGCCATCCAGCGTACACCGTGTTCTGATTCACGGTGCAGACATTATAAGAGCTTCTATTCTTCCTGTTGGTGCTCTATCAGAAGAACCTCAAGAATGCCGAAATAAGGACATCAAAAACTTTCGAGAACATCGGGCAAGGAAATGTTCATGGTACAGCTAATACATGCTAACCTGCAAGGTACACCCCATTAAAGAGTGTAAAAAATTGTAAAAACTGGCGTAAATCCTTTCAACAAAGAGATAGCAAAAGTGTGCATTTTCTAAGCACTTATAACTTTGTAGAATATTTAAAAAAAAGATAAAATTCAAAGAAAAAAGTTATGGTGAAAAAACAGGGGGTAAAAGGGGGTACTACCGTTTGTACTCCATTTTCACCCTATAACTTCGTACACTTGAGAGATAGAAAGTTTAAACCTTTGACAAAGTTTCTTAAAAAGACTTCATCTACAATGTTTCCATAGGTGTTCATCAATTTTAACAATACATAAAAAAGTTATTTTTTATCTCCTTAACCAAAAATTTTCACTACTCAAATAAAGTACTTAAAAAATAAAGAAACATTCTAGAAGACATCAAAACACACCACTGCGTCCAAGCAAGAAGTACAGTCGACTTGTTTCGCGCTCCGTTTTCTCGCTATTCTCTGACGTTGTTCGGACTGGGAGGGAACTTTCTCCTTTTCAACTCGTAAGGGCTCTGAAAAGGGCTGGGGGTTCGACGCTGCTCCAAACCAGGGATGTGTGCAGTGGGACGGCTACGCTACCAACTGTTTATTCTCTCCTCTTTCTCTCTACAAATTCTACTTCTACTGCTGCTGATGTTCACTGCTGCTTGGTCGGAAAAGAATTCTGTTTTGCACGGTGATGCATGTCTCTTTTAAAGCGGCCAGCGATGATGTGGTCTTCGCTGATTGGTGGATGTTGTAGCCTATTGATTGGTGGTGTTCGTAACAGTTGACTTTCGGCGGAGACGGAACATACTCCCCCGGTTGAGGTAACTTAACGATTAACAACGATTGTCTAGAATTGCTCATTGGGCGTCGGTATCTGGAACTTCTTGCAACGGTTGTGATGCGACCCAACTTCCAGTGGGGGCTGATTTTTCGATGGTAGTGGAACAACCAGGGTTTCACGGATGATCGGCATGATTCATAGGTTCTTCTTCCAAGGTCGTAGGGTGTTCATGGGCAGGTATCCCATTCAACAAGTGGTGGCAGGCTCATACGAAGTTTTCGTGATCGCCAAAATCAATGGAATCTATGTATGTGGTTGCTACGCACCCCCGAGATGGACAATTGAGCAGTTCGACCAGATGCTAGATGGGCTCACCGGAGAGCTCATTGGGCGGAGACCAGTCGTCATTGCAGGAGATTAAGAGATGAACTAGCCTATGGCTAAAAATCTCTATAATAAAGAAAAAAAAAAAAAAACATTGCAGGAGATTTCAATGCTTGGGAAGTGGATTGGGGGAGCAGGTGTACCAACGCAAGAGGGTATAGCCTGCTGGAAGCTCTGGCAAAGTTGAACGTCAGTCTGGCCAACTTAGGAACCATCAGCACCTTCCGCAAAGATGGTAGGAAATCCATTATCGACGTCACTTTCTGCAGTACGTCGCTAATGGCAAATATGAACTCGAGAGTGTGCGAAGAGTACACCCATAGTGACCATCAGGCGATCCGGTACAGTATCGGCGAACGGACACCGGTGGAAATGCGGAGGACGAAAAAAAGCGAGCAGAAGTGGAAGACGAAGGCATTCAATAAGGATCTCTTCATCGAAGCTCTAAGGGTAGACAGCAGCGTCCCGGGCCTAAGCGCGAACGAGTTGACCGAATCATTAGCAAGGGAATGTAACACAACTATGCCGAGAAAACTGGAGCCAACGAACAGGCGGCGTCCAGCTTACTGGTGGAACGAGGAAATTAGCACCTTCCGTGCTACTTTTCTTCTAGCCAGAAGGCGTGCTCAGAGAGCAAGAACAGGAGCAGACAGAGAGGAGCGCAGGGTGGTGTTTCGAGATTTTTTTTTTTTTTTTTAATTCTTTACTAAAGAGATTTTTAGCCTTAGGCTAGTTCATCTCTACGGTGTTCCGAGAGGCCAGGGCTGCACTTAAACGAAAGATAAAACTGAGCAAGTTAAATAGTTTCTGGAGCTGTGCCGCGACGCCGATGCCAACCCCTGGGGCAACGCATACCGAGTCGCGATGGCGAAGATCAGAGGTCCAACGATGCCAGTTGAAATGTGCCCCAACAAGCTGAAAGTCATCGTGGAGGGACTTTTCCCACAGCATGACCCAACGAACTGGCCACCTACACCATATGGCGAGGTAGATGAAGACAATGTTGAATAAGTCTCCAACGAGGAACTCATAGCAGAAGCGAAAGGGTTGAAAGCGAATAAAGCTCCCGGCCCGGATGGAATTCCCAACGTGGCGTTGAAGGCGGCGATCCAGACGTTCCCAGACATGTTCAGGATGGTACTGCAGAAATGTCTGGACGAGGGTCAGTTCCCTGATAGGTGGAAGATACAAAAGCTTGTGCTGTTACCGAATCCCGGAAAACCACCGGGGGATCCTGCATCGTATAGCCCAATATGCTTGCTGGATACTGTCGGAAAGCTCTTGGAGAGGATCATCCTGAACAGGCTGACGAAATGCACGGAGAGTGAACACGGATTGTCGGAGAGGCAGTTTGGATTCCGGAAAGGGAGATCGACGGTGGATGCAATTCGGACAGTGATTGACAGAGCCGAGAAAGCTTCCAAACAGAAGCGGAGAGTAAATCGATACTGCGCCGTGATTACGATTGATGTGAAGAATGCATTCAATAGAACCAGCTGGAAGGCCATCGCCAAGGCGCTCCATAGAATGAGGGTTCCAGACTACCTCTGCAGGATTTTAAGTAGTTACTTCCAGAACCGGGTCCTGGTCTACGAGACAGACACGGGACAGAAATCGCTTAGAATCACGGCGGGTCCATTCTAGGTCCCACGCTGTGGAACGGAATGTACAATGGGGTGCTGACGCTCAAGCTGCCCAAAGGAGTTGAGATCATTGGCTTTGTGGACGATGTCGTCTTGACGGTAACCGGTGAGACGCTGGAAGAAGTGGAAATGCTGGCGGCCGAAGCGATAGATACGATTGGTAACTGGATACAAGATAGCCCACCACAAAACAGAAGTGATGTTAGTCAGTAACTGCAAAGCAGTGCAGCGGGCATAAATCACCGTTGGAGAGCACACCATTGTTTCGAAGCGCGTGCTGAAGTATCTGGGAGTGATGATCGACGACCGACTAACCTTTAACAGCCACATCGAATATGCTTGTGAGAAGGCGGCGAAGGTCATCGACGCAATAGCCAGAATCATGCCGAACAATTCTGACCCAAGCAGCAGCAAGAGGCGTCTTCTGGCTAGTGTGTCCTCATCGATACTAAGGTACGGAGGTCCAGCCTGGATTGAAGCGCTGAAAACGAAGCAGAACCAAAGGAAATTGAGCAGTACGTTCTGGCTCATGGCCATGCGAGTCGTGAGTGCGTACAGAACCATTTCGATGGAGGCAGTATGCGTTATCGCCGGTATGATCCCAATCGGCATTACCTTGGCGGAGGACTACGAGTACTATATGACGAGAGAAACCAGAGGAGTACGAAAAAGGGAGAGAACGGTGTCGATGGCTAAGTGGCAGCAGGAGTGGGATGCAGCAGAGAACGGTAGATGGACACACAGGATAATACCGATTCTTTCGACCCTGGTGAACAGGAAGCATGGAGAAGTCAACTTCCACTTGACGCAGTTCCTGTCTGGTCATGGCTGCTTCAGGAAGTACCTGCATCGGTTCGGACACACAACGTCACCCTTCTGTCCGGAGTGTGGGAATGTGGAAGAATCACCAGAGCACGTGGTCTTCGAATGTCCTAGATTTTATGCCGGGTGAGAGGATATGCTCGCACTTAGCACGGAGAATGTCGTCGAAGAAATGTGTCGAGAGGAGGGCACCTTTAACGCCGTCAGCAGAGCAGTAACGACAAAATGGCGAAAGGACCAGCTAGAAAGTAGTAATATGCTCACACAAGTGCGAAGTGAAAGCCGAAGCCGAAAGATCTCTCCGTCAGAGTAGGCTGAATCCACCACCGGGGATAACCGAGTATAACGTGACACTGGGAGCTAAATGGCTCACAAATTGGAGAGACGATCAGCGAACTGGAAGCGCCAATTAGGTTAAGCGAGGTGCGTAATGCACGACCCCCTCCTAAGTAATACGACAAGTGGTTCCGGGGGAAAAGGGCAAGGCGTCCAAGGAGGTTTTAGTGCGGTAATAATCCCACATACCATGTCACCGCGACTGTGCGCCCAGTCGTCAAGCGGTGGCACGATGGCCTTTTTGAAGGTTTCCTCCTTGCCAAAAAAAAAACACACACACACTCACACATACACACCGGGTTGTGCAGGGCTAAAAATGGTGAGTTGACAACCTGGGAAGAGCGTTTTACCTAGCTCTGGTCCTCACAAGTTCTTACCTCACACCTCCCCGTGGTGTAGCCTGGGCAATGTTGT